ACAGATTATAACAAGTTACTTATTACAAAAAAACATCAAAAGAAATTCATACTATAAACAATGAAATATTCAGATTAGTATGGATAAACGTTGTAAAACTTCATGATCAATAAATTAATTATAAATATCAAATAAACATTGAAACAAATCATATCGGATATATCCGTAAAAATCTTCTAATATACAAAACATAAAATGTCTATAAACTGAAAATATAATTTCTATATATTCAATATATACGTGCCGTCTCAACACGTTGAGAACCCATTCCTACGACAACAATATATTAGAGGAGTTGAGCAGCTGGGAGACTTTTTGGGTTGGCTCGCCGGAGAGTGTCTTCAGAAGGGTTTGGATTATGAGGCTTTGCCGGCGATGGGGGTGTCCGCCGGCGGGTTTTCTAGTGGTGGGTTGTAACTTCTCGTGAAATCAGCTGAGTTATATTGACGATGGTGTTGTGTGAAAGCTTTGGAACTCCATGACTGACCTAAGCTATGGCGTGGTGGTGTGTGAATGTGGACGGTTTTGGCAAAGATGGTGGGCGATTTTGGAGGAGATAAATTAAGGAGAAGTAAATCACATCTAATATGATTTATTCCTTAATTAATAGATAGTTTTACTAAAATATGAATTCTAGTATACGTGTAATTATTTTGTGGTGATTAAGCGGTTTTACAAATAAAATTAAATCAAGTGTAAAAATGTTATATAGATAAAATATTATTGTATGTGGTGCAAATTGCTCTTTTAAATAACTCAATATCAATAGTAGAAAAAATGCTTTTATATTGGATAAAAATCACTTTTACATCGGTTATTTAATTTACGTATTGTAACATCACTCGTATAATAAGTTATGTGATGTAAATATTTTGGTTATCCAAAGAACCATGTAAACCTGTTAAATATGGGATGTCGAAAGGGAAAATTCGAAGCTGCCCCTAGGGGCACTACAGTCAGCCCCTATAGGCCCTTGATTTCACACACACCCATGTGGGTGTGTGAATGTTTGTGTGTAAATCAAGGGCCCCTAGGGGCAGCATCGAATTCTCATGTCGAAAGGTAGGAAAACAATTTGAAAAGAGTTTTCACATCGAGTTTTGGGAACCAATGTACAAAGTTTACCTTGTTACAGCAGTTTTCCAAAAACCGATCTATTTAATTGTAATAACAAGGTAAACTTCTTATATGAGTTTCCTAAAAAACAACATAACAACCAAACTTGATACATCTGTTTTCGAAAAATTGATATAAACAAAAATAACAAAACAAAAAACATAAAACAAAAAAGATGTACTACTTACATCTACTTTCTGTTAATCAATGTAATAAAATTACCCTTTTACGTCGGGTTTCATAATCGATATGATACATTTTTTAATATAGATTTTTGTTTCTTATTTAACAAATGAAAAAGTCCGACAATACATATCGGGTTATCCTTGATTTGTGTTGGGGCTATTTGGCCTCTGGGGTTGTCTCTTTATTTTTTGTGGATTTAATGAAATTTCTATCTTTTTGGGAAAAAAAAATGTGCGTATACAAACACGATATTGTGCAATTTATTTTTCATTATTGTAAATTTAGTATTTTTTTAGAAATTAACTTAATTGTAATATATTAAAATTTCTAAAATTGCAACTAAGTCATTGTGGTGTGTTAAATTTACAAAAGGAAGTCCAAATTCCAAATTATTGTCTCCCACACACCAAAGGACCTCGCTCGCCCGTCAATTAGCCCTGCCTTCACTCTCCCGTCGACCTCCCACCACGGCGGCATCGCCGGCGAAGGCGGTACATGGTCAAGAGGCGGTGAAGGCGGCATCGCCGGCGAATGCAACCTCAAGATTTGAATCTCCACTCCATGCGTGGCCTTCGACTACGACTGAATCGAGCTCCCCACAGTCTCACAATCCAGTGGCGTAACAACTCTTACTAGATTCTCTATGACCACCGCGTCATCATTGTTGACGGCCGCCACTCATTCAGCTACGAGATTGGTGGCGGTGGCGGTGAGCTTGCAACTGTGTGTGTGAAGTGTGTGAGTTGTGTCGACTGTGTGTGTGTATAAGTGTGTGAGAGAGATAACTGTTGGTGGGTGGGTATGTTCACATGGGTGGGTGAGGGTACAATGACCAGAATGCCCTTATTGAGTGGTAAATTTAAACATTTAACCACAATATGTACACTTATTTACTAATATAAAATGTCATCACTTGTTTAACTGTCATTGATAAACTTTGATTTGATCAATCAAAAATTGTAAATTAACTAATTAACATATTTAAAAAACTATCACTATCATATATTTCAAAATATATTCATCAACTCACATGTTTTACCTATCAATTTTATTAAATTTATATTATATTATTTTAGATCACATTAATTTTAATTATTATATTTTTATTTTTATTGATTCACGATTTTAAATTTATTTAATTTTTCATAAAACATAATTTGTTCGCTTTTTTATCTTCAGAACATAATGTTTGAGAAAAAAAATATTATACTAATAGCACGCACCTTAATGGAAAAAAATGGGGATTACTATTCACCGCCTCCCTATTACTATTTACCGCCCCTCTTGGACATTTTTGCCCCTGCCATTTTTTTTCAAAAAGTAAAAAAAAAAAAAANAACAACACACCAAGGTAGCATATAGGTCGATGTTTTATTTTTGCCCATGGATGACTTATTTTGTCGTAGTGAAGTAAAATCATATGGAAGTTATAACTATTGTTGTCATTGTACAATGCAATTGATGCTTTGTTTCAAAGATGACTGTCGGGTCCAACCATGTGGCCAACTGGTCACCTGTTAGCATGGGCGATTTTTACTGTTAGGAGAGTGATCTAAAACGGCAAACAACTGCAGTTCAATTGAAAAAGGGATGGCGGAATCTAAACTATTTTGCTTCAACATGGTAGATGTTCAATTCAAGGGAAGATTTCTTTTCCCTTTAAACGTCTTCTCATGCTTTCATGTTCAACATTGTCTTTTAGTCACTTTGTTCTCTTTAAATTCCTATTCATGTTTCCTTTGTGTAATATTGTTTCGTTTTATTTTATTTCAGGAGATTTTAGTGGGCATGTCACTCAGTATAGTGTGATTATTAGAATATTGTAGTGAATGCATGTAGCTTATGTTCTCAAGGATACGGGCAATCGATAATACCAATCTCCTACTGCCTTAGCTATCGTCTGCAGCCAACAAATCCATACGAAAAAAAAAACGGAGATTATTATAGTTCGAAAGTTCCAATTACGAAAAAAATGTAGAATATTATACTTCGAAAGTTCGATGTAATAACCGTTTGGTTCAACGGAGCATTATATTTTTAACTAAATTTGAGTCCGCCGTGCGTGCACGGCGTGAGACCACTAGTATATATATATATGAAGAAGTTATAGGCCATTAAAAGGTGACAAGTGTCCACTTTTGTAGTCTTTAAAAGTTGACAAGTGTCCAAGTTTGTGTTCGATTTATTTACAATTTGAGCCACTTTATTTTGCTATTTTTGTTGCATTCATGTTGGTGTTTTTTCTTTTGGTCCTTATTTGCCCATTTCGTGGCTTCCAAGTTCCAATACAATTCATTGGTGATTTTTTTTTTTTTTCGTTAAGTTTCCTGGTAGAATTTTGGAAGTGAAATGATCAAGCTTTCGTTTTGACATTCTTGAATTCCTCGAATGCCTTTGTATGTGAGCTTTGGTTAGATTAAATCCTTTCCCGTTTATGTGTTTGATAAGATTTCAAAATTGCTTTTTTTTTTTATCTTTTTAATTTATCAAGATTTCAATTAACATGCTGTTTGTATTTAAGGATTTATGCTCTTAATCTGTTTTTGTGGTGGCTCATAGGGATCCCCTTTTTAGCTAATTCTGTTTTGCTGATCTACATATTTCTGGAAAATTGCGTCCATATAATAATGGGTTCTCCATTTTTGAAGCCCTAAATGCACTGTGAAATTTTCAATCTTTCTCAATTGAATATAGGATCTGTATATTGATATGCAGAAAATCCAATTATGACTTCTAATATGGGTTCTTTGGATATTGAAATGTTACCATGAAATCGCTTCTGATGTGTTTTTTCTTCTGAGATTATTCTGAATTCTCAATTGCTTCTTCACCTTATCCATGTCTGCTTCATCTTCCCTGCTCCATGCTTATTTTTCCTTTTTCCCCCTTTTGTGAAGTTCCAAAGCTTTGAAAATCTGAAATTAATTTTAAGTTAATCAATAGTATATAGTTTTGAACATCCCTTTTCTGAGCTTGCAACGGAGCTCATGTTAGGAAATGATAACAGGTTTTGATGGACTGCAATGAGGTTTTCAGATTACAAGTACTTTTCGTTACAACTTAACTGTTGTTTTTGGTAACTTTAAATACAAGGGTCCAGTGGCAAACTTCCTCTCTTTTATCTACGTAATTAAGTTGAACCCTTTGATGCGATGTGCAATTGATTTTTTTTCCTTTTCTTTTATCTTTTTTTGTCCTTACAGGTATTTTTTCCAATTGACATAGAAAATTGCTCTATATAAATGGGGGAGGAAAGCATTATTCGGAAATGGGATGAATTAATACCCGATGCTCTTGGCCTAATATTCAAGAATCTCTCGTTTGTAGAGTTACTGACTGTAGTACCAAGAGTTTGCAAGTCGTGGGGAAAAACAGTGGCTGGGCCTTATTGTTGGCAAGAGATAGACATTGAGGAATGGAGCAAAAACCGTAACCCCGAAATCATCGACCGAATGCTTCGATTATTGATTTCAAGAAGCGGTGGTTCGCCCCGAAAGTTAACTGTTTCTGGTCTCACGAATGACCAAAGCTTTTTGTTCATCGCAAATCAGTAAGTGTTTTGATTTATGATTTGTTATTGTAACTTTTGTTACTGCGAAATTTGAATGCCTTGATTTATAAGAGAAAGGTGGTGATTCTTGCTAATTAGTAATTTGCCTTAAAAGATGTCACATTATTAGTAGAATATAGATTTAGTCCATGAGAACATGGTGTTTTTAATGGTTTCACTCCATTCACTTTGCTATCTGTGACATAGAGTTTGGAACAATTCCTATGCATGTGCTATAACCAGTGCTACTTTGGGTGTTTTCTTAACTTACTTTGGGGTTTCTAATTAGTAAAATAAGTTATTAACACAATCATAAACAATTGATATTAATGATGAAGTTATAGATTCAGATAATTAAATTCAAAGAATGCTTTATCTGCAAAAAGTATATATGCAATTATCATAATTAATAAACCTTTATGGCGTCGGTTACTAATTGAAGTCGAACACAGTATGGAATTAAAAGAAAAAGGAAAGTGATGCAATGTTTTGCACCAGCAATGGTGAAGGATTTTCGGACCATTGTGTAATTAGCTTGGTGAATAACAGACGTTGGTGAAGTCCATGATGCTTTGCATTTTTGTAATTATTAGTCATACAAATCATTATTATCTAACACATTAATTTCCCATGTTGCTATAAGTTAGTCACTGCTGTGTATGCATGCAGAATGTAAGGATAATGATATTCTTTGACAAGTAAATATGTAATTATAGTGCCATCTAAATAAGTAGCTTGTTTTTAACAAATTTGTTCTCTTGTTGTAATGATAAGGAAAAAATCAGTTTAAAAAGTAGATGGATTTCAACTTCAGCGCGAGGTCCATTAATTTATCGTTATAACTGCACTAGATATGATAATGGTTGGTAATGGCCTACCTAAGCACGAGGGAAAGAGCAAAATAATAAAATAGCCTTTCCAAATCTTTCTGTACAAAAATAAAAATCAATCGAAAAACGTGGACGTAGTAAGAGTCGATATTCTTCTAACTTGAAATTATATGTATTCCCTTTGGGTTTTCGTTTAGAGTTGAGGAACATGAAAATTTGACATATACACACATCTGATCAGTTAATAATATTCTCAATGAATCTCTGCTCTTCATATTAATATCTTATTACCACAATATATTTTCATCCTCTAAAATATGCAGGTATATAAAGTTGGAAAATGGTGGCATAATTCTAAAACGCCCTTTAAATCGTAACAAAACTCAAATGCCTAGAATGACACTTCAATCATAACGAAGGAATTAACGAGGAAGATGAAAATTTGACATATACACATCCGATCAGCTAATAATATTCTTAATGAATCTCTGCTCTTCTTATTAAAATCTTATTAGCATAATATATTTTCATCCTCTAATATATAGTTGGGATAAAGTTGGAAAACGAGGAAGATTGTTGTCATTTTCATATTATCTCTATAAACACACCAACCTCTATTACTCTTTCCATTCGCATACTTTGTTTCCAATCCCGATTTTTTTTTTTTCATATTATTACATAACAACCTATCTCTCACTTGCTAGCGCTCAATCTCTCCACACACTGTCCCTGACGAGGTGCTCCATAACCGACTCCATAACCGAAACAATCTCCATGAAGCTATCTTCCCTCTCCTCTTTAGACCTAAGCTACTGCAACAACCTCGGTGCCCCAGCCCTCGAATCCATCGGCAAAAGCTGCAAATCCCTCACCACCTTGAGACGCGTGATGCACCCGCTCGAGGTCATCAGCATGCACTCTCAGGTAGGCTTGTAAACAAAGCAAAATTCTTTTATTCGAATTCGATATTCGTGATTCGAATTCGAAATATTCGAATAATGTTTTATATTTGAAAGTTAAACGAAGTCGAATCCGAATTTTTAGATATTCGATCGAAATTATCAAATACTCGATTCGTTAACGATAATTATATAAATTTATAATTTTTTGTAGTATAAATTTTGTTTATAATATATATGTGTGTGTGTGTGTGTGTGTGTATTGTTATATTCTTAATACTTTTATGACATAAAAAGTAAAAACATCCCATATTGACAATTTGCCTAAAAACATCTCAAATTGGATAGGAAAAACATAAATAATTATTTGTAATTATAATATTTTCTTAATCATAATATTTTTCTTCTGAAAACGAATTTCGAATCGAATCGAATATGTTCGAATATTCTAAACGAATCGAACACGAATCAAAAAATGAGTTCGTTTACAAATTGAATACGAATTCAAATCCTCGAATATTTTAACAAATCCGAATCGAATATCTTAGTATTCTCTTTGATTTGATTCATTTACAACCCTACTGTCAGGAGGACGAGGCACGAGCAATCGCAACCACAATGACGAAGCTCGAACATTTAGAAATGGCTTACATGCTCGTGACAACTTCGAGCGTGCTCGAGATCTTGAGAAGCTGCAAACGGCTAACGTTGCTCGATATTCGGGGTTGTTGGAATGTGGAGCTTGACGAGAGGGTTGTGAAGAGGTTTTGGGGGAAGTTGAAGGTTTTGGGGCCGGATATGGTGGGGTGTTATGAGGCGGGAGAGTGGGAGTGGGACGATTGGTCGGAGGAGTCGGGGGGTTACTTGGCGTGGGATTTTGTGGCGGGGGATTTGGATGGGGATGACGATTATTATGCGGAAGAGGTGGCGACTGCGTTTTGGGAAGAGGATGGCGAGTGGCCGTACGAGGGTGGTGAGGGTTTTGATTGGCCGCATTCGCCTTGAGGGATTTTTTTTTTAATTTGGTTTTTTAAGAGAACAAGAATGTATTTGTATTTTTATTTTTATTTTTATTTTTATTTTTTATTTTTTTTGTGGTGTG